AGAACTGATAGGGTTGCACACCTATTAAAAAGTTCGCATAGTGAAGAACTGATAGATCTGACGAGTTCACAAAGGTCTGAAAGCTGTAGTAGAAGGCACTACGATCAGTATAGAGACTGTAAGCCCTCCTATGGGTGGCACTGAAGTAAAACCAGACAATGTGACGTGGTTATTGCCAGAATACGTTTGGGTTAAAGAATGTACTGGCAACTACAAGGTGCAAGAAGTGCAGATGAATCTAGATGTAAACTATGTAACGAGGAAAACAAGCGAACGCTTGAGCATTATATCTCGGAGTGCCATGTGATACACGTAGGGTGGTAAATAAACTTACTTAACTTAAATTGACGAACGTTCGCTCAACGCCACGTTGCGACGCACAGTGGCCTATAATTGCCCAAACCCGGTCAAAAATCTACGTAAAAGGCATCTCAGTTGCAACTACACGAGTATATAAACTTCGTCAATATATACCATCTTTTCATCTGTTTATGGCCCACTTAAACTCACAAGTAATATAATCTAAATATGTGATATTGGAAAATATGTATTATCATATAGGACAGGAGCTTCTCTTGATTTGGAAGTCCCAAGAGTCGATGAACACCGGAAGTCCCAAGATCCGAGGCTTCACGAGAGATGAAGACGAAACCATTTCGTAGTTCCCTTCATGACGAGAGTTGTTCTTTCAATATCACATGTTTGTAAAATATTACATTTATCGGAACCATCTTGAAAAGTCGCTTCATCAAGCACTAACGAGAAAGTTTCTTAATAGAAAGTGATTTATCTTTTAATGTATATTGTTTCAACTGCATGACAAAGGGACTCTTATCAGATTTCCTTCATGAGATGAGGATAAAGACGAAGCATTATTATAGTTATTTGACACCACCGCTTCAAATCCCTTCTTGGGAACAGGCGCTGAAATGTTTGTCTGTATCTAAAACACGGGGACATGGCCACCCTCCTGCTCGGATTAATAATTCTTCACCATCATCTCTTCTAGACACAGCATAAAAAATGTTTTCTTTGATACAAATGGCGGGCGCGCCTTCTCAGCTGACGCAATCATAACAAAAGCAGAGTTGCCAAGATATCAGGTATTTCCTGTTATTGTAATCATATAATTGACATTCACTGCTATAGTAATTTATACCTTGAATTATCATCATCATGGGGCCTTTTAAAATGTAAATATTGGAGTTTTAGTCAACTATTAACCTTGAACTGTGGCGCAACAGTGCGAAAGGACATCGATGAAGTCCCAGATCTGTGCCACGCTTGCCGACTAAGTGGTTAAGAATATCGGGTTTTAAAGACAGGATATTTAAACGAAATCACGGAGTTTAAAGCTTTTTAATTGATTAATTGAGTCAAGCTTCCCCCTGTAGAACGTATGAGTTTCCCCCTGTAGAACGTATGAGTCAAGCTTCCCCCTAGAACGTATGAGTCAAGCTTCCCCTGTAGAACGTATGAGTCAAGCTTCCCCCTGTAGAACGTATGAGTCAAGCTTCCCCCTGTAGAACGTATGAGTCAAGCTTCCCCCTGTAGAACGTATGAGTCAAGCTTTAGAACGTATCAAGCTTCCCCCTGTAGAACGTATGAGTCAAGCTTCCCCTGTAGAACGTATGAGTCAAGCTTCCCCCTGTAGAACGTATGAGTCAAGCTTCCCCCTGTAGAACTCAAAGATGAGTCAAGCTTCCCCTGTAGAACGTATGAGTCAAGCTTCCCCTGTAGAACGTATGAGTCAAGCTTCCCCTGTAGAACCAAGCTTCCCCTGTAGAACGTATGAGCAAGCTTCCCCCTGTAGAACGTATGAGTCAAGCTTCCCCCCTGTAGAAAGTATGAGTCAAGCTTCCCCCTGTAGAACGTATGAGTCAAGCTTCCCCCTGTAGAACGTATGAGTCAAGCTTCCCCCTGTAGAACGTATGAGTCAAGCTTCCCCCTGTAGAACGTATGAGAATAGAAAGTCAAGCTTCCCCCTGTAGAACGTATGAGTCAAGCTTCCCCCTGTAGAACGTATGAGTCAAGCTTCCCCCAACGTAGTCAAGCTTCCCCCTGTAGAACCTCAAGCTTCCCCCTGTAGAACGTAAGTCAAGCTTCCCCCTGTGTGAGTCAAGCTTCCCCCTGTAGAACGTATGAGTCAAACTTCCCTCTGTAGAACCTATGAACGAAACTTCCCTCTGTTGAACCTAAGAGCGAAGCTTCCCTCTGTAGAACCTATGCGCTAATTTTCCCTCTGTAGAACTTATGAATAAAGCTTCCCTGCGTTGAACCTATTAGTGAACTTCCCCTTTGTAGAACCTATGAATGAAGCTTTCCTCTGAAGAACCTGTAGGTGAAGCCTTCCTCTGTAGAACCTATGAGTAAGATTTTATTCATCACAACCAAGCTTTAGTGAAGAGATATAGTAATACACTTCTGAGTTGGCATATGCTTGGAAAAGGTGTATAAATAATCTTATTTCGAAAACGTAGGCAAGACACTACCGTGAGTC